AAACAAATCGATCGATAGATACATGAATAGACAGGTAGATAGGTAGATGGCTAGAAAGGTAGCTCTGTAGATAGATGGCGAAAGAGAGACACAGAGAGAAAGAGAGAAAGAGAGACAGAAAGGCAGAAACACTCAACCACCTTTCAATCCATCAGTGGGTTCGCTCTGCCATTTTTGCGTCACACCAACTCACCTCTCCTATATATATATATATCTATATCTACTGGCAGTTGGAGGTGTAGCTGTACTTGTAGTAGTAGTTGCAGTTGTAATGTTATTAGTGTAGTGCACTGTAATTGGCGTAGTGTAGTGCAATTAGTGCAGTGTAATGTAATCAGTGTAGTGTAACATAGCGTAATAATGCGTAGTATTTTGTACATGTAGTTGTATTTGTAGTTGAAGAAGTAGTGTAATTAGTTGCAGTTGTAGTTGTAGTTGTCTATCTATCTAGCTGTCTACCTGCAAGCTTGAAAACGAAGCTAGTCTGCGAGACTTCCTCAGTTTCTGAATTTGACAACATCAAAAACGCAGCAATTCAGCGAGACTTCCGCAATTTTTGCACTTGACAACGTCAAAAACGAAGCAATTCTGCGAGACTTCCTCATTTTTTGAAGTTGACAACATCAAAAACAAAGCTATTCTGCGAGACTATGCGAGACTTCCTTCAAAAATGGAAAGTTGAGTGCAGAGCTGCGTTTTGCGATTTTTCGACTCCACCTGTCTAAACTACTGCGCCTGCCATGAAAAAGTGATGCCAGGTCATACGAAGTGCTGCACCTGTCACGCAAAATCATCTCAGCAAACCTGAAAATCTAAGGCTCCAAAATGCAACCCCTCTCAGGAAATCAGCGCCCGGACCTCCTAACAGCTCTGATGAACATGTCTCTTGTACTGCCCCTGCTACGGAAAATGCATCTTTGCAGATCCTCTTCAAATGTCCCACGCCTGCCATCGTTTTTGTAAATGCTACAAAACCCTCACGTTTTGCCCACTTTTGACAAGGTCCACAATCCCTACCGCCTGCCACGCGAAACGACATCTGAACGTCAAGAAAGTGACCTCGAAATGCGCTTCGCACCACAACGCGTACACTTTTTCGACATCGCAACTTCCAAAAGTGGTCCGCACCTGGTGTGTTTTGTACATTTTTGACTTCGAAGTGTGCTTCGCGCCTCAACGGCGTACACTTTTTCGACATCGCAACTTCCAAAAGTGGTCCGAGCATGGTGTGCTTCGTACATTTTGACTTCGAAATGTGCTTCGTGCCACAATGGCGTTGTGTTTTGTACATTTTGACTTCGAAATGTGCTTCGTGCCACAACGGCGTGCAATTTTTCATCTCTCATCTGGCCAGCTGGCTCCGCACCCGCCGCTTTAGCGAGCCTACTTTTCGACCCTCCGGAGCCACAAATTATTGGAAAAACAGTGTTCCGCGACTTTCCTACCTTTTCGCGCACCTGCATCTTCTTTCTTCTGACTCTTTCTCTTCTCTGAGCTTCTCTCTTCTTCTCTTCTCTTCTCTTCTCTATTCTTCTGCTCCACGTCTGCTTTTCATCTGTCCATATTGTTGGAAGTTTGACTTCTAAACTTCCTTCGGTTACAAGTACTTAAAATATCGATCAAACTACTTGCGCACGTGCCTTCTCACTGTCTGTGCGCCCACACAGAAACCAAGCAAACATGCCGGAATCAGAAGTAACTACATATTTACATATACTTACACCGTACGCGCCATGCCCGGACATTGCCGGAACATTGCGATTGAGGATCTTGTGCAGGGTCGACACGGCTTGCAGAAGTTCCAAAAACCGCCGGCTGTATGCAGTTGCAGCAATTCAGGGGTTGAGGTTGAAGTCTTTAGGGTTTGGAAATGTTTGGAACCGGGTTTAGGAATTTAGATATTTTAGGAATTTAAGTTTAAGATTTCTTGCTTCGGGCACTCAAGATCAATGGGCCTGCGCACGCTTTTGAGCATTAGGAAGGAATAACGGTTGACGACTGCGTAGTTGTTGAAATCGGCTCCAGGCATGTGCCGTATACTGAAAAATTGCTGAATATACACAGTATAATATATATATATAATTGTTATATGCAATATATATATATAACCAAAGAATATACATAGTTTGATCTTATATATGTAAATATATATGTATATATATTTTTAAGGTAAATATTTTATATCTACATATAAAGATATATAACAAAATAGACCTATATAAAAGAATATATATATATTGTTATATAAATATATATTGTTATATATGTATATATTGTTATATATATATACATGTTGGTAAATATATATATTGTTATATATATATTGTTATAAATAAATATATATATATTGTTACAAATATATATATATGTATATATTGTTATATTTATATGGTTATATATATGTGTATATTGTTCAAAAAATAAATATATATGTTGCTATATATATATAATATATTGTAATATAATCGAAAGATGAAAAGCAGAGCAGGGAAGAGGCAGA